GTCGGCGTTAGCGTCGGCGTCCCGGGTTAAAGTTTTAGGAGCAGGTCCCATTCCCAAGTAACTATAAGCCCTACCTGGACCAAACTTGCATGGATGATGCATCTAGGGATGGACACTACCAAACTTGCTTCGGATGCTGGATCTGACCTAGATTTTCCAGATGAGTGACCAGGTTAAAGTTTTAGGAGCAGGTCCATTCCCAAGTAACTATAAGCCCTACCTGGATCAAACTTGCATGGATGATGCATCTAGGGATGGACACTACCACACTTGCTTCGGATGCTGGATCTGACCTAGATTTTTCGGATGAGTGACCAGGTTAAAGTTTTAGGAGCAGGTCCATTCCCAAGTAACTATAAGCCCTACCTGGATCAAACTTGCATGGATGATGCTTCTAGGGATGGACACTACCAAACTTGCTTCGGATGCTGGATCTGACCTAAATTTTCCAGATGAGTGACCAGGTTAAAGTTTTAGGAGCAGGTCCCATTCCCAAGTAACTATAAGCCCTACCTGGATCAAACTTGCATGGATGATGCATCTAGGGATGGACACTACCACACTTGCTTCAGATGCTGGATTTGACCTAGATTTTCCAGATGAGTGACCAGGTTAAAGTTTTAGGAGCAGGTCCATTTCCAAGTAACTATAAGCCCTACCTTGACCTAACTTGCATGGATGATGCATCCAGGGATGGACACTACCACACTTGCTTTGGATGCTGGATCTGACCTAGATTTTCTGGATGAGTGACCAGGTTAAAGTTTTAGGAGCAGGTCCATTCCCAAGTAACTATAAGCCCTACCTGGATCAAACTTGCATGGATGATGCATCTAGGGATGGACATGGCCACACTTCCTTCGGATGCTGGATCTGACCTAGTTTTCTGGATAAGTGACCAGGTTAAAGTTTTAGGAGCAGGTCCATTCCCAAGTAACTATAAGCCCTACTTGGACCAAACTTGCATGGATGATGCATCTAGGGATGGACACTACCACACTTGCTTCGGATGCTGGATCTGACCTAGATTTTCCATATGAGTGACCAGGTTAAAGTTTTAGGAGCAGGTCCATTCCCAAGTAACTATAAGCCCTACCTTGACCTAACTTGCATGGATGATGCATCCAGGGATGGACACTACCACACTTGCTTCGGATGCTGGATCTGAATTAGATTTTCCACATGTGAGACCAGGTTTATATTTAGGAGTAGTCTCGTTCCCAAGTAATTATAAGCCCTACCTGGACCAAACTTTCATGGATGATGCATCTAGGGATGTACACTTACCAACCTGCTTTGAATGCTGGATCTGACCTAGATTTTCCACATGAGTGAATTTTAGCCATATTTTAACCAAATTAGCATGGATGATGTATCTAGGGATGGACACTTCCAGACTTGCTTTGGATTCTGAATCTGACATACATTTTCCAGATGAGTGACCAGGGTAATTTTTTTGGAGTAGATATATAATACTATGGCCTGTTATGATTAAACTTGCATAGATGGTGCATCTAAGGATGAAAACTTCCAGACTTGCTTTGGATGTTGGAACTGACCAAAATTTTCTTGATTACTAAACAGGTCAAAAGTTTTTTGAGCAGGTCTATAATTAAATCAAACTTGCATGGATATTGATCTTGGGATGTACCCTAACTAGAAAAAAAATATGATGTGAAATTTGCCTTACATGTAGATAACATTCGTCGAGGTGAGCTTCGTAATCTTTGATTACCTATGTTTACGTATTAATACTGCCTGTGTATTCACCAATTATGGTCTTGCTGTACTAACAGATCGTGTGCATGTGCAGTGTAGGGAAACAGGAGTGGATCAATCAATTTCATAATATGTTAATGTTTATAAGAATGTTAAAACTTTTTAATATTTTTATATAAGATGGTGAAGTAAAACACATTGTCAAAATTTTATACAAGTACTGATGATTTAAATCATGTTTTGCACTTATATTAATATTATTAGAGAGTATGGCGTAGATAAACTGAGTCTGTGACCATGTGTCCTTCATCCCCTTAAATGGGAAAAACACTTCTTAATCTTTAGCTCACCTCAACGAAGTTGGGGGGAGTTTATGTGATACCCTCAGCATCAGCATCCCAAGTTGAAGTTTTTGGAGCAGATTTCTTTTTAAATACTATGCCATACATCAATCAGAGATGCATGGAAGATGCTTCAGCTAAAGAATGACCAGGTTAATGTTTTTGGAGCAGGTTAAAGTTTTGGAGCAGGTTAAAGTTTTTGGAGTAGGTCTGGCTTCCAAGCAACTATAATTCTATATTGACCAAACTTGCATGGATAATGCATCTAAGGATGCACACTACCAGGCTTGCTTCGGATGCTGAATCTGACCTACATTTTCCGGATGAGTGACTAGGTTAAAGTTTTTTGAGCATTTTTTTTAAGTAACTATAAGCCCTATAATGACCAAACTTGCATGGATGATACAGCTAAGGATGCACACTACTGTACTTGCTTCGGAAGCTGAATTTGACATACATTTTCCAGATGAGTGACTAGGTTAAAGTTTTGGAGCAGTTTAGTCTAAAGTGAGCCTTATGCTAACCAACTTTTCACTGATGCACTCTACCAGAGTTGTTTCAGATGCTGGATTTGACTACATTTTCCAGAAAAGTGATCAGGTTAAAGTTTTTGGAGCAGGTCCATTCCCAAGCAACTATAAGACCTACCTGGACTAATCTTGCATTGATGATGCATCTACCAGACTTGCTTCAGATGCTGGATCTGACCTACATTTTCCTGATGGATGATCAGAATAATTTTTTTTAGAGCAGGTCCTATCCAAGTAACTTTAAGACCTACCTGAACCAACTTGCATGGATGATGCATCAAGGGATGCACACTACCAGATTATTAGTTTAGTGTGGGACTTTGCCTTACTTAAACATTCATTGAGGCGAGCTCTGTAATGTCTGATTACCTATGTTTGTCATTATTATGATTGTTTTACCCCCCTCCCCCCCCCCCCCCAAAAAAAAAAATTAGAAAAAGGAAGAAGGAGAGAAATGTTTTAGTTACATTGCAAGCAAGTTAGATTTCAGAGTTAACAATTTAAGTGCTGTATTTTACAGATTAATACCAAGATTGAATATAATGTGATTAAATTGATACTGGGAAAGGCATTACCCACTAGTTTAAAAAAAAAAAGCAAAACATTCTTAGTAATTTGATACTCATACACAACCAAATTACAGTAAATGAATAAAAACAGAGATTTCATGCTCTTGCCAGTACAGTGGTTCCCGTTTTATCGAATAGTCAAGTTGTCAGCCTTGTTTTATCCGAATAGCCGAAAATTAGAATAGCCGATTGCTTCATACCGAGTCCAAAGATAGATGCATAGAGCTACATGTATTGATAATACATCGTAGGAAATTTCCAGCTTGCACATTCGTTTTCTTTTGACATGTTTACTTAATAACTTTACTAAAAATAATTTATTTCACTTTTTTCAAATAAATTGACGTATAGAATATATTCTTTGATAGTTATTGCCATCTTTCTTCAGCACATGTTTACATTCCTTCTTCGATGGTCGCCATTTTGGAAACGGAAGTAGACTAAATGCTTGATTAATAACTGTAAACTATTTTTCCCTGGATAGATTGTAAATTAAAAATAAACAAAAATATTAAATATATGTAATTGTTTCGTTTTTATTTGTTTCTTTAATACGGTTACGTATTTTATACTGTGTGTGAGTTTACCAGTCTCGTTCTTGTCTGCTGAAGAGAGATTTCGAGAGCCATGTGGAGAAAGATGGTATGAATTTTGAGACGTATTTTTATAGAACGGTCCATTTATTATTTTTACCATAAATTTTGCACTGAAAAGTGAATAAATATTAAGCCAATTGACCAAGTTAAACGATTGAATAGGCTTATTTCATTATCCAAGTAAATTGTCATACACAAGCTAATCAGTTTAATAAATAAATTTCACGCCGAAAAAATTGCAAATAATTGTCATAATTAACAAGTGCATCATTGAACCCAAGCTGATCACCACAACTGTAATCAAAACATATCTATTTACTATGCCCACTATCGACACAGGTAAGGTGCCTGTGTGCGTCCAGCCGTAACTAATCCCCTCATTGTCGTACTCAAGCCAGTCAAGGTAATTGGTGTCAAACTGTGTAAACAAAGGCTTCACATACGAAGTTGGAGGTGTGAACAAGGTGCTGATTATCAAAAAACACTATGATAGTCTAAATTTTTGTATCGGATAAAACGAAATTCCAATATTTTCTCATCAGAATATCAGGTGACATTATTAATAAATATATAAGAAATGGTTTTGTGCTCTGATATTATATTGAAATAGCCGAAATATTCGTTAAACCGCTATCCGATAAAATGGAAGCCACTGTATATGCATAATTCTAATATTAAGTAATGGCTGGGTTCTTGTTAACGGGTCATCTGAAAGACCTATGACTTTCATTTCTAGTGAAGGGCATTTGGCAAAAAAAAAAACAACTCACTATTTTGTGCTAAATTCTTAGGTTTGACTTGGCACAGGGAATGAGAAATGAACCTCCAGGATCTCTCCCAATCACAAAGAGAACACCCTACCACTGAGCTACTGCAGCCAGTTTCATTGATGGAAGAGCCCACATACTGCTTAAAAAATTCTTTCTTACAATTCCTAGGCTTGAAAACTGGTTTAAACTACTTGAGCATGAATGGTTTGATTAAGGGAATTCGAAGTGTTTTAATATGAAATAAAGGAGGAAATGTTCAGTGGATGTAAGTTAAATTTATTTTATCCACATGTCCAGACAATCTAGTTCACAGACTGTTTACACAAGCGGGCCACTCATTTTTTTTGACTGGATCTGTCAGATGTACTTCAGTGTCAAACCCTGGTAATCACACCATGAAAGTTTTAAGCATGCAACCTTTACAATTTTGTCTTTCTCTGCTCTAAAATGATAATTATTCAAATTTATTAATTAGCTCCAGAGATGCCATGAAAACAACAGAAGAGGCAAATTGCACCAGAAGTGGAATAGAACTCCAAAATCTTCAAATTCTGCAAAATGAAATTCAGATGTTGCAGAATTTGCAGGAAATTCATAAGCTTCAAAATCTTGCAACAGAAGTAAATATGGAGAACATGAACACAGTTGATATGGAGAGCTTTCATCAAAATTTTTTACAGTTAAGAGCAGCTAATGATGCTGAGTTGATTGGGAATTCCTATTCTTTGGTTGAAGATTATGAACAAAAGAAACTAATGGCAACCAAGGGTAAGGATTAAATTTCCATACTTTCATTTTACATTACATTTTAATTATTTGATTAAAATTTGTAGATACGGTGAAGAACAGCAAAATACAAATTATTGTAAGTTTTTCCTTCATTGCACATATAGAAAAAAAAGCTTAGAAGTACCTGTATCAAATATCACAAATATTTTTGTAAGCAGTATCAAATACTGTGGAAGCATTTAAAATTTAATTTGTCAGTATTCATGGACCACCAAAATTTTACTGGTTTGTGGAGACATACTTTTTGTGGGTATCTCATATTTACAGAAGATCTATTGTACTGTTACATTTAGTTTTTGTTCATGGGGATGTAAATTTATGGTTAAGGGTAAGCCAGAAAATCAATGAACAATGGTCCCCCCAAAACAGTGATGATTGAAAATAAGAAGCTTATAATTGATACACAAGGCTGTTTGAAAATCAAAAATGTTTGTCACAATTCCAGTAATATTTAGACATTATACAGTAAAATTTGTTTAGTACGAACATGGATATTGCGAATTCACAGATATAGCGAAGTTTTCTTGGATCCCCAGCTATATAAATTTTACGAATTCCTTATACGGATATAATGAATTACGTATATAACAAAGTAATTTCACGAGTCCCAGTGACTTCGTTATAACCGAGTTTTTACTGTACTTCGATCACCAATTAGTCAAAGAAAATTTTTAGAGGATCATTCATGTTGGATATTTTATGACCCTATCTTAAGGAAAAAATATAATTTTTAGGTCACATGAATTACTCAGATGACCTTTCACTTTCTGTTTCATGAATAAAGATGGAAAGAATGGGTGGGTCTTAGTACTATATATTTGTTTCCATATCATGTGACATTGTTCACCAGTCAAGAATTTATATATGGGAGTTGAACACTAAAACATTTAATAAAGAATTGGTAAAGGATCGATATCCTTTGAGGTATGAAATAAAACAAAACAAACAATTTCTAAGAATTGTAGTCCCCTATTTTCAGTGTCTTAGAGGTTCAAATGCAATTATTTAAGAAATAAATAACTGATTTATCTAAAGTATTAAAGAAATTAAGGCTGGTCTGCCAAACATTTACATTGGAACAATTTTAAAAACTGTGGAATTAATTTAGTTCTTTATTGCAGCTATGCAAAGAAAACCAGATGGTGAAACACGCAATCCAACAGACATTTGGTCTGGAATGGGTTTTTCAAAGTCCATGCCAGAATCAGTCATACGAGAGAGAATGCAAAAGTTTCAAGGTGTCCTTGCTTACTGTGAGCCAACTATGGAAACAACATATGAGGTAATGCTGATATTCTGCAGCATATCGTCTTGTAACTTCTTTGAGCTTTTCTGATCACATTTTTTCAGTGTACATTTGTCCATTTGTGTAAAATCTTTTCATTTTCACTTCTTCTATAGAACCACTTTGTCAATTTCAACTAAACTTGCCACTAAGAATCCTTGGGTGAAGGAAATTAAGTTGACTTGTTTAAATGAAAGGCCACACTTTCCTTTAAGGGGAGATAATTAAGATTTCCAGAAAATTTTATGGCAGTCATGAATTTTTTCTTAGGAAAACACACCGAGCCAGTTCAAACCTGACGTTCATTTACTGTTTAATGCATACCAATTTTGATGAACAACTTTTAAAATTTTAGATGCCAAAAATCACAACTTTTGTAAATGATTGAATTATGCAAACTTTTACAAATATTTGGATAGGAAAAACAATTTCCAAACCCTCCCTCAATCAGTTTTCTCAAAACCAACCTCCATCATCAATTCACCTGTTTTCCTGCCATATTTGGAATAGATAAAAGGTTGCATAAAAAAATATTTGTAATTACAATATATATTTTATACATTTACACCTCTTTGGAAAATTTCTAGACCCCTGCCTTGCTTTGGATTCATCTACCTACCAGTTTTATATAGTTTTACCTTCATTATTGGATTCCACATGTTATGTAGTAAACTTATTTGATCATTATCAGTTGGAATTCATAGTGTGTTTTAATTGGATTATTAATTTATTACAGCTGCACAATAATATCAATATTCTAGCATATTGCCATTCGTTGAAAAAAATTTCATATTGCAATACGTTTTAAGATCATCTGAGCTGAAAGCTCAAGTGAGCTTTGCTGATCACCTGTTGTCTGTCATCCATCTGTCCGTCTGTAAACTTTTCACATTTTCAACTTCTTCTCAAGAACCACTGGACCAATTTTAATCAAAATTGGTACAAAGCATCCTTGGGTAAAGGTGAGTTTAAATTTAAAAAAAAAATTTTGTATTGTAGTTTGTTTTTTTTTTAATCTGTAGATTACTGTTTATTTCTTTCATTTTTGATACTCCACCCTTTTCTTTCAAGGAGGAATTATTTTTATTTATATATAACAAAAGATTAAATAGTTTATGACAAATTTATTACTGGAACATTCCATATTGGACACTGGGGACTGACAACGTTTACAGCTAATGAATAAATCGGCTAAAATGAAACATACTGAAAAGATAACACACCCAAAAACCAGGGTGAAATAAACTTAGCCCTTGTAGTGCCGGTCGTTGATAAAGCGAGGACCCAGATAACGCCATCACAGTGCCAGTCGTCGATAATGTGAGAGCCGCCATGTTTTCCGTTCATTGCCAGTCGTCAGTATATCGACTTTACACACATGACGTTTTCTTTCATATTTTAACCAATGAAATAAAGGGAATCCATTCATTTCAATGTTGTTTACTAAAAATAGATAGATTTTCCAGTTGTTTAATGATATGATTGGCTCTTGATGGGAAATTCCTTCAAGTATTCTTAGAAAATGAAACTTGTTGATCGCGTGCTTTGGGGAAAGTTTGAAAACAAGATGGAGGTTGCAGTGAAGACGCTCGATTGAAATACACTTTTACAGCAATAGCATGCAGAAAATAAAAGATTTATTTCGTGAAATATATCTAAATTAAGATTCCAATGAAGAATTCTGATGATTTGATTCCATGGTCATGAATAATACTTTGGAGCAGTCACTTTTGAGGACACATGGATTTAAAAAACTGCGCGTCACCAGTTTCAAAGGTGAAAAAAATCGATACAACTGTGTCAAATGATCACAAACTGATTGACATTTAAAGTTTATTTCTGATTACTTTATTGAAGACGTTTTGGTTAAAAAAAATTACTATACGGCAGATATATTCAATACTTCACAAGAAAGAAACAGAGAGCCACAATCGGATTTCCATGTCCAATAAACAGATGTCAAAAAAGGACTTGTAGCAATCATAATTTTATGTTTCAAGATGTGAAAGTATAGCCAGTAGTAACATGAAGGACTAGCTCTTACAATATAGTAATCGCAGAAATCTACTATGAAATAAATAATGACATTAAAATACCAATAATTTCCTTTTTTTTAACATTTTAAATGTAAAATTTTAGTTTAAAGCTTTTGTAGTTTTTTACCGAGTTGAAATATTAAAAAAAATTCTTCACAATTTTCTTATTTTGTTTTTTCTGAAAAAAAGTTGTGTAGATTGTTATCAGAAAAAGTGATTATAGAATGGTGATAAATAAGATAATCTGCAGCATATGCAATTAGAGAGAAATTTATAAATCAGCCTGGCACAGTCAGCAGCTGGACCTCCTTATCAGCTCGGCACTCAGAGATGCTGCTATCTATAGCACCCCCGGCACTACAAGGGTTAAGCTGAATTTGAAGCATACTGTAAAAGACCTAGAGGATTCCGAGTTGGATCCATTCGCATGGTCTTACTGCACAGAATTTAGAATGGGACTAGGCACACTAGTTGAAGATCCTACTGCATTTCTAGCCAATGAATTGGCATTACCAGGAGCAGGAGTAACTGCTGATCTGGAAGACATAGCAGCAGTGTTTGCATTATTTGCATTATTCCCGAATATTGTCCAAGTAAATTCTCTTTAGCGCACTGTGAGAAAGTGACACATTAATAACAATTCCAAGATCCGATAATTTCTGTTTTAAGACAACTACAGTCCAATTTGAAGGATTATCCGCATCTTCCAATTGTAAGAATGGAGATCTCGATGGTGATCTACGACCCGTGGCCATTGTTCAAAGTTCGAAGTTCAAAGTTAAAACTTGAATTACACGATATAAATATTGTAAGGATTGTTACTAACACACGCATATGATTAAATACAATTCCAGGTATGTTTGAATTGTAAAATTGATTGTTATATAAATCCATAAGGTAAGGATGGCAATTGATTTAAGTAATATCTGACAACGAAACAGTGGCTACTGACGCTGAAGGTAAACTGAAAGCGAGGCTGTCTAAAAATAACAGAGTACAAAGAAAGGTACCAAAGGGGAAATTACAAAAGCCTAACCTATATGTAATAATAAATACAGTTCATATATATGAACAATGATTATTAACATAACAAATAATTTTTAAGGTTTTTTAATGTGAAATGGTATAGTGATTTTCAAGGGGAAAGTTAACTGCAAGTTCTCTTTCTTAAGGTCAGACGACACATTCCTTAATTTATATCTCTTGGTATTTGTGATTTCTAAATTGTTTTCAATATGTTTTAAGAAATAAGTACACTAAAAATTGCGACATTGGCAATTAAAAAGATTACCCATAAGGATTATATAAGGAATATATCACACTCTGGTATCTTGCCCGGTAAGATACGTACTTAATTTTTTGTGAGGAAACTTCTTCATGTAGCAATACTTCATTGACAAATTCTTGGGGAAAATTATACATTTTCGAGGAACGTGTCATCTGATCTGTTGTACAAGTTTATATTGTATTTCTTGCATTAAAAGAATAAAAACAATTTTTCATATCTTCTCAGCATTAATTTTGATATATTTAATGTGTAAATGTTGAGGAAGTAGCAACATTTTCAACTGTTGCAATTAAATGTGTGGCCATGTTGACGACTTGAATAGTTTAATGAATGAGGTGTACATGTATGATGTGTTCAAAAGGGAGGGGGATAAAAAGATTAATAATTACAATTCGTCTGTGACAATTTCAATGTCAAAGAAATAATCAGGTCATCTTTTAAAAAAAAAATGTTTGCTTGCCCTCTCCATCTTGGGATAAAAAAAAATTGGGTTGGTAGGGGGGAAATTTCTTTAATACAAAAACGCTTGCGGATATGAAGTTAAAAAGTTATAATTGGATGATAAAACTTCAGAATGAATAAAAAAAGTTTTCTGGAAGTTATAAATCTTATCACTCAGTTGATGGGAGAGGGCAACCAAACAATTCTTTGAAGATGCAGCATTCTAGCAATATTTCTTTAAAAAAGGAGGTGGGAGGTGGGTATTTTCCAAAACATGCTTAGGATGTTGAAATTGGTTATAAATTGCATGTTCTACATGTATTAGATATTTTGCACGGTAGTGGATAAAGTACACTGACCTGATACTGATAGCTGGCCAAATTATTACTCTGTGCTATTAACTGGAAATCATCTTTGGTTAACCCCAGTAATAATATATATGGGATTCCTGACTTGATACTAAGTACTTTATGTGTACTAGCTTTTTGTATATTCCAAACTTTGCACCCCTGTAATTCATAGTCTCATTCCTTCATACTATTCAGGTAGTCTTATCTTCTGCTGCACATTAGAACATGCCAGTAATGCACTGAAATTTAAAAATATGCACACTGCTCTTCATCCTTCGCAATGACACCATCTTCATATATTGCCTATTCTAGTGCGAGTTGACTCTCAAGCCCTTCAGGCCTTTGATTTTTTTATTTACTTCATTTTTTGGATGTCCCTACTTTTACAGTCATATTTGAACAAAAAAGGGTGCACGCTATGTAGCTCCAATGCATTGTGACAACATGTTTACATTGGTGTCTGATTTTTTTTTCAACATATGCTGTTGAATGTAGGTCATTGTGTATTAAAGCACATGTACTTGACCAAAGTACTAGCCCATAGTTCATGAGTAAATAAACAATGGTAATGTTTACAGGACATGTTTATTTTTAGCATATATTTATGCTAAATATATAAATACATAAATGCTATTTATAGAATGACCTGAAAATGTTGGAAAAACCCACATGTGCATTTACAAGTGTATTACTTTCACGGTGTGCACTATCTTGCAGCAATTAATTAATTTTTCATGGTCATAAATATTTTTAATCAAATAAAAACTTAATGCTTAGTAACATACCAGTAAATTGCAAAAATTCCAATCTTAAATTTATTTATTGATTTCCTGTGTTTTGATTGGATGAGATCAAATTCAAGAAAAAGTTTACACATCGATA